GCAGTTGCTCATTGGTACATCAATAAGCCTGTAGCAACCACCCATAGGAACCTGCAAAATTGTTTAAGAGTGTCGCACTTAAACTAAATACTAATGAAATAACAAACCAACAAATACATTTTGGCCTATAAAATAACATGACTGCTACTACTTCTGAGGATTGACCTACACAACAACAAACTCATACTTAAAATCCTTGACTACTACTACATAATAATGGATCTTTTAGACACTTTCCAATATAAACAGAGCAAATATCTTGATAGCAGAGCAAATAAACACTTTCCAATATAATAGACTCAACTCATTGCATAAACTCCTAATGATAACATCATAAACATCTTACAGCTGGTTTAGCTCGGTTTCTTGTAAGCGGAAAAAGACGGGTCCCAGCACCACCGCCCAGGATGATGGAGGCTACATTTCTTGGGTCAGCCTCTGGCTGATCTTCAAAATTCTGTGTCTCAAATGACTGAAACAAATATTAACCTTTACTTCAGATATATAGATCCCAAAACCTAAATCCTCATATGATTGGATTCAATAAATAAATAAATAAAAAGAATTTGATCAGTGAGTGAATCTACATACCAGGAATTGTTTGTTAATGTCCTGAGTCAGCACAGAGTAGGTAACTCCAGGCTTAACTTTCTTAGAACTTCTCTCATGGATCTCGGATTTATTAACACCAATGCCTCTATGTTTAAAGCTTCCCCTGATCTTCTCACCCCAAAATCCACTATCCCCACAGCCAAACTTCCTTGAATTTGGAACTTGGTGTACATTAGCCTTCATGGTAGAAGCACACAGGGCATCCATTGCTGAGGTCTATGCACACCGAATGAGCAGAAGTTGAGTTATAGCAAAATCTCCGAAAGATCAAGCAAACTATGTATGCATTCAAAACCAAGAATGAGCAGAAGTTGCTTACTCAATTGATCTCAAAGAAAAGAAAATAGGAAAACCCAAAGATTTAATTTTTTTAACAAAGCTGGTAGGGTTTATGATGATTTGGGCAAAGAGATTCCAGACCCAGATGGCTTTTGAACCCAAAGTGAAGAGAAAAGAAATACTCGTAATGATTATGGGACAAAGTCAAATGTTGTTTGAAGATTAGTTCTTGGGCTTTATCGGCCAGTGATCACTCCGAGAAGTAGAAAAGGTGGATCGAAAAGACAGTGGGGGCTTCGATGACTCTGCAATTTTTGGCAAATTGAAGCTGTAATGAACACAAAGATCCAAGCTTTTTGTGCCCTACTGGTCTACTACTACTCCTACTGATGCAGTGATGGAGGGTGGCATGGGTGTGAATCTCAGGAATTTAGGGTGGTAGGTGTGTAATAGAACAATTCTGTTTCGTTTAGGTCCGTCCGTGAGTCCATCACGTGGAAGGTTCTACACGTCGCCGTACCACCGTCTGCCACGTGTAGCCAATGTTGGTCCACCAAATGACCAAAACACGTGTTACAGATGCCTCCCTCTTTCCTTTATATGTCATTCTTTTGTTTTTTAAATATTCCGTTTGTATTCCGTATTAAACCAGGAATAATTGAGAGTATATGCGAATGTTTGCAAATTTTGAAAAAGAATGTTCTGCGGTTTTTTTATTTATGAAAGCTGGAATTAACATTTTCCAGGAATAAATTTGATTTAAATTAAACACTTTATTAAACTTAAAAGTTGAAATCTCTTGTATGAATTTTCTAATCTATTTTTCATTTTTCTATTATACCAACAACTATAAATTTTATTTTTATTAAACATTATCAATTTTTACTATTAAATGTTTTCTTGAAAATAATTTTAAATTATGTTTTTTGAAGTAAAATCAATTGCAAATATTTGCGGTACGTCTCAAATACGGATTATGAATGATTCAATTTATGTGTAGAGGTACTTGCCTAAAATCACTACTACAAAACAGGGTTTCCACGTCAGTTTTTTATACCATTTCACGTCGGTTTTTCAACTGACGAGGAATGTCGCGACGTAATAGGTAATAACATTTCACGTCGGTTTCTAAACAGACGTAATAGGTAATAGCATATCACGTCGGTTTCTAAACAGACGTAATAGGTACGTTATCACGTCGGTTATTTTGTAAAACCGACGTAAGAAGTACTCGTTTTTATAATAAATAAGACCTTCCACGTCGCTTTTATTGTAAACCGACGTAAAAAGCTTTAAATAAAACAAAAATAATAATACATATAACGTCAGTTTTTCCAATAAAACCGACGTTTTATGTACTTTTTAGAAACAAAAAATTGTTATTTACATAGCCCATGAGATGGAAAATATAAAAAATTACAGAATGTCTGTTAATTACTATACGAACATAATAAAAAATTCCCTCAAAATACTATGGGCAATCAAATTATGGTAAACTATGGACGATCAAATTATAGTAAACTATGGGCAACCAAACTACTAAATCGCCTGCTGCATCAAAAAAGACAGTTTCCCTCTTATAATGCTTCTTAATGCTGAAAACCCAGACTTTCGGAGTCCCAATTAACCAGTTCCAACTTCCAACCATTGTCGTGTATCTGCACTACAACACCTATAAACAAAGGAATACAAGTGGAGTCCGGTTAGATGAGACAAAAAAACTGAAATGTTTGAATCATACCACATAATTCAGAAATATCCTCTAAAATTACTTTAATATAAAAAAACTCAAATAAATATATGACGTATTTAAAATAACAGAACTGTCCAAGTCTTACACTCCTAATTAGCTGAGATTCCCAAGAATTGCTTTTGATCAGTCCCTCTCACGCTGTTTCATTGGCCAATACATTAAGACCTCCCATGTTCAACTCATCTGGAAATCGAAAAATAAATAAATATATACTGACAATGATCTAATGTTCTAATTCTGCCAGAACATACCTCAGAATCAGTACTCTTTGGTACTAATTTTCGTATTGATTAACATTAGATATTAAACAAGTACTACTATTTGGAGACATTAATCACATCCTTCCCACATAAATCTTTTAAAATAATTATTCGTATATAATTATTGTTTAAAACTTAGTAAGGCAAAAAACAACTAACCTTAGCTTGAATATCATTGTTTAAAAAAAAAGGTAGTACGTGTACTATTTCTGCAGCGGCACTATCTATAGATATTATTTACATTTGAAGGGTCAATTGGAAAATAAATAAGAATCTAAGTAATTATTAAGCACAAGCTTGTTATATTAGTAGCTTAACTAGGATTCAAATACTTAATCAACATAACACATATAGAAAAAATGACCGAAGAAGAATATATGGAGTATATAGAAAAAAATATGGTTCCAGAAAATTACTTGTCAATTGATTTGAGCGCAGCTCATAAGGAGTTTCCATGATATTCATTCTTTCAAATATGAGTATCTCTTTATTTAGCTCCTGAGCCTGAACATAAGACAACAACTGATACAAGCTAGAAAAAATGCATACAAGACAAATAAACGAATCTCACATGACAACAGTTTTACACTTTTACCTTCAATGAATCAAAAGACGTTCTCAGTAATGAATGACCAGGAAGACCTTCATCAAGAAAAATAAATGAATCTCACAAGATAGCAGTTTTACGCTTTAGTGAGTCTGTGAAGTAGTCTATAACTTTGCAGTTTAAATGAGATGAAAGTTGACATCAAATTCTTTGTTTAGGTTTAAAGTATCCAATATAATAACCTGAATTTGAATAAGTGGAACAAGTTACAAAGCCCATACTATTGTAACGATAAAGATACGCATGAGTCAGTTACCAGAATTTATCAAACAAGTACCCTCATCTAGTTTATCAAGATCAAAGTATCTATTTGTGCACAGATCCTTAACTGTCAGCAACCTTAGATATTTTTGAATTCATTGCAACTCCCTGCAATATAAGAACAAGACAACCCATAGTGAAATAATTTCTTTTGAGTTTAATCAGTATCAGGTCTAAATATGGGCATCTCAACCATTAAGTAAGCATCGAAAGCATACCTTCTTTTCACATGTTAAATGATATACTATCGATACATATAGTAAATACAGTTTGGGAATGAGATGCTAGCCAAATGTTTAACACTAGTGCAGTAAAAACTCTTTTTAAGGCATCTGTATTAGTACATGACATTGATGTTCACTCAGAATAAACAAATATTCTCCTTGCTTAAAAGAGGAACAATCCAAAATCCTAAAATTCTCAAATTAAATTTATCAAAATAGGAAAAGAATCAAAATAAGAAATGCATTACAGAGCCACATAAACACAAACACTCATCCAAAAATATGACTAATGTGTCGAAATACTGCCAACAGCAAACTGAAAAAATGAAAAAATATGGTGTAGGAACAGAAGGGTCGAAATACCAGAAGGTGTATTCGAAGTGACAGAATCGGGAAGCCAAACTCTACTGAATACCATTGCAGCACTAGATGAGACAGCTATCTATTGAATCTGATTCCTTTATCTTCTCCGTTCCATTGATTTCAACTCTTCCCTCTCTGGTATCTCGCTCACAGAGAGCACAATTTCTCTAAAATAGTTAGGGTTTTATTACTCCAAAGTCCAAAATAGCTAAAGAAAACGATGACCTGGATCGGAGGGCAGAGATTGTCTCGATTCACAATCGTGGAAGAGATATTTCGCCGATCAAGTATATCCCCAGGTCAATTTTCGGTTTTATGTGTAGAAGACGATGCAAGGGTTTCGTGCGTAGAAGAGGAGATGCGAGGGTTTCACGCGTAGAACAAGACGATGGGAGGGATTTGTTCGATCGCCTGCAAAAAAATCTTAATCTTCAAACACTTCTGAGGTTTATTCTGATTTCAGAGATTTTCCCGACTGGGAGAAGGTTTCGTGCGTAGAAGAAGATCGAGGATGCCAGGGTTTCTAGTTTCTTGGTTAATTTTAAACAACTCTTGAGTGGCGATTAAAAAAGAGTGATCGATTGAAATTGTTTGAATTTTACGTCGTTTGAACATAACTGCCGTTAAAGGTGCAAAAAACTAATACTCCGTACGTGTTTAAGGCGGTTTTCGTAAAACTGACGTCATACACAAAAATAAAAACATTCGAACGCCAATTTTAAACAATTACACGTCAGTTTTAAATATAACCGACGTCAAACAAACTTGTTAGGACGGTTTTTCAAGAACCGACGTTAAAAGGGTGACGTAGTATGTCATTCTTGTAGTAGTGAATCTATTTCTCTATATCGTTCCAATCTTATCACATGTTTTCGAAGGGACAAAAAAATTATTTCTAAGTTGAAACATTACATTAATTTTTTCCGTAAGACCTACATCATTTAGTACGTAATTAGCACGAAGCCTTTTAAAAATTGGGACGGCCTTGAAATCCATGCAAAGCCAAGCTTTTGGAACTAAAAAATACCCAGTAATTAGTTATATTATTGCTTAATTTAGAACAAAGTTATTATGATTTAGTTCACTAACATATGTTCAAGGGAAAATCTACTTTGCAGTTATAGTAGGCTGAAGTTCAGAAGAACTTATTCTTCTTCAATTTTTTAATGTAAGTTTTTTACTTTTCATATTTAGGCATTTAGCCCTTGCCACTTCGATAATGTCTAACTCTTGTATAATTACTTTTCATCCCGATGTGCTTAACATGAAAATGTACGTCGTTATTCCATGATTATGCATGTGTTTGTTGTTGTTGAAGGGTTTGGATAATGTGATATCAATGGCTGGGTATCATAGGCAAAAGCTGATCTTAAGTTTGGTAAACAACTTTAACGAGTACGGAGGAAAGGCACAGTATGTGGCTTGGGCCAACGAGAGGGGCCAATCTCTATCTTCCGATGATGATTTCTTCACTAATTCCGTAGTCAAAGAATATTACAAGAATCACATTAAGGTAATTAATAACTATTTTAATCATAATTATTATCACACTTTTTGTGTTTTTTTTGGGAAGATGATTTCTTCAGTGGCTCTGTATACAGTCAAAGGTTTTTACAATAAAATTTTGGATTTGGCAATTGGCACACTCAAATAAAATAAGACAATTCCTGAAACAAGAATAAAAATGTTTGAGAATTATTCTAAAATATGATTGTTATATTTTTATTTGCAAATAATTATTGTCAAACTAGGAAAATATTGTCGTGTATGTTTAATATTAATGTCTGATACTGCCAAAATATGATACTACCTTCGTCCCTTTTTATTTAGTCAACTTTGACTTTTCCAGTCAAAGATGATAAACTTTAATCCATTATTTTAACTAATATATTTATGTAAAAGTTAATAAATTTATACTTTTGAGATAGTATTTTCAACAAACATTTTCATATAATTTTCATATTATCAATATTACCGTGTATAAATATATAATCAGTCAAAATTGAAGAACTTTGACCTAAAAAATAGTGATTGGCTAAATAAAAAGGGACGGAGGGAGTAGCAATTACTCCTATTTAATGAATAAAATCATGATAATCATATTTTGGAATATAATGTAGATTATATACAAATGTTTGTAGTCCTATTTAAGGTAATTTTCCAAATAAAATTGAAGTTCAACATTAAATTTTGGAGCCGAAAAATTGGACATCAGCGTGCGTAATATATAAAATTGCAGGTTTCAAAATATACACATGTGTTTTTTATACTATAACAACTACTACGTATTATATTTCAGCATATATATCTCGGTTTTATTTGTATACTACCTCCATTCTTAAATAAGTGTAACATGTAGAATTTTACACCATTCATATGTTCTACTTTGACTACATTTTATTTATTAATGGATTAATATTTGTTTTTTTGAAAAGAAATATTATTAAATTTGTCTCATAGTAAATTTTCAAAATCTGAAATTTATTTTTTATTTTTTTAGTAACAGAGAATTATATATATTAATGGTAAAAGTTATGTCTCGGCAAATGTTAAAAGTTTACTGTTGCACTTATTTAAGAATGGAAAAAGTATATGACAGTGGACCAAGTCAAAATTTAAATGATACTCCGTATCATATGTGTACATGCGTGTATGATTAATTACATACTCTAAATTTTGCAAATTTATAATCAACACAAAGTTATACACTTATATATACATACATGTTAAAATCTGTCATGTTTACTATTTCTTTTGTTTAGATAAACTTCAAGAACAATTTTCTCCTCAACAAAAATACTACGGGCAGGAATATTAGACTGATCAATGTAGAAATTTTAATTAGTACAGCACGGACTTGGCATTGCGAGTTTGACACGGATCATAAGATATTTTTTGCACAACACCGTGTCAAATAGCCGGTGACTAAACAGCATTGGCATGCATTTTGGCATAGATTGGGATATCCATGCCAAAATATCTATGAATTTTGACGAATTTGTGCCAAAGATCGATCATCGTCAAATCCGTGCAAATATTGTTGTTTTTTTGTAGTGACATACGGTATGAATAACAATGCTTTAATTACTTTCGAGACTTATTCTTATCTTAAACAGACTGTGCTTACGAGGAAGAACACCATTACTGGAACTGCATACAAGGATGATTCTACAATAATGGCTTGGGAGCTGATGAATGAACCCAGATGTCCCTCAGATGCGTCTGGAAAAACCCTACAAGTTTGTTTTCTTAATCTTACACTCAGTATGTAAGCCGCATTTTTTATTTTATAAACGGTAATACAAAAGTACGATGTGTTTAATTGAAACATGTACGACATTGGTCAAAGTTAACATCTTTGATCATAAAAGTCACTTGTGAAAACATTAAAACTTGAATGAGGGAGTTTTATTTATTTATTTAAGGAATTAAGCTTGAGATCTACAATTAGGTTAGGATTATATATGCCAAAAAAATCCCCAGGAAAGCCATCTGAATAGTACTTATAGTAGAAAAATGTTTTGAAACTCAGGTGGAAAGTATTGTATTAACCTAAAATGAAAATATTAAGCCTCTAATGCAACAATGTAAACGCAAAGTCATCATCTATGTTGATATATTTACTCAATCCCTTACCAATTTCAGGCATTCCTTTTTTAACCGTCACAACAATAAAGTATAACTTTTGTAGCATATGCAAAATGTTGCAACAGTTGTCAAAATGTTGCATTCAACTCGTGTTACAATAAATGCATTGTAGCCATCTATCATTTTATTGTAGCATTTTTGTAAAATATGTTACAATAGATATTATATTATAGCAATTTATATGGTGCTACAAAATGGATGCTACAATAGACAGTTTTTGTTTGATAAAAAGATTCTTATTGTTATAAGACTAGCGTCAAAGTACTAGTGAAACGTTAATAGAGTGTATTTCAAGTGAATGATCACCATTACTAAGAGGTGCATTTTAGGTAGGGGTGGACTCGGGCCGGGCGGCCCGAACCGGAACCGGCCCGGCCCGGCCCGCTCACTGTTTGAACCGGCCCGGCCCATGGGCGGTTCGGGTCGACCCGGCCCGGCGGCTACCGGTTCCGGGCTCGGGCCTTCATTTTGGTGAACCGGCCCGGCCGGTTCAGACCCGGTCCGGGCCGGATTTATTTTTTTTTTTTTGAATTTTTTTTTAAGTTTTTGGGTTGGATTGGGTATTTTGGACCATTTGAGGTGGTTTGGGGTGGTTTGGGGTTGAGGGGGAGGGTAGGGGGTTGATTAGGAAAACCCAAAAAAAAAAAATATAGAACCGAACCGGGCCCGGCCCGGCCCGGACCGAACCGGACCCGGGGGTTACCCGGGCCGGTTCCGGGCCTCCCCTACCTTGAACCGAGGCCCGGCCGGTTCAAGGCCCGAACCGGGCCCGCCCCGAACCGAGTCCACCCTTAATTTTAGGAAGTCAAAGAAAAACTCAATATTTTAATATTTTATTAATATATGTGTCATTAAAAATAAAAATTCTTGTTGTACACAAACTTAATACACAAATTGTACACAACCCCATTAGTTGCCTAAAATGTCCACAGGCAATGTACAATTTGTGTACAAATTATGTGTATACCAAGAATTACCTATTAAAAATAGGAAATTTTTTAGAGGAGAGAAGAGTAGTAAGATTGCACTTTAGAATCAAATTAACTCTTAAGACAAAACTATATAATTTAGAATTGATTAGCAGAAAAAAAGAACTTTTCCCACCAAAAGACCCAATGCATGAACTTCCTATGTTTGTTTTACCAGAATTGGATCAAAGAAATGGCTGCTTATGTGAAATCCATCGACAATAAGCATCTGCTACAAGTTGGACTGGAAGGCTTTTATGGGCCATCAAATGCTGAAAAAAACCAGGGAGTTACTAGCGGCTCTCAATTTGGGACTGATTTCATTGCCAATAATCAAATTCCCGAGATCGATTTCATCACTGCTCACGCTTATGCCGATGTGTGGTATGTAAGTTCACTTACACATATTTTTAGTTAGTCCTGGACTCGGGCCGGTTCGGGCCCGGTTCGGGCCTGGGCCCGGCCGGGCCTCGGGCCAGAAAAGGGAGGCCCGAGCCCGAACCGCCGGTGGCCGGTTCCGGTCCCGGTTCCGGGCCAAACCGGGCCGGGCCGGGCCGGGCCGAACCGGCCCAATAATTTTTTTTTTTTTTTTTTTGTTCTTCTATTTAATCCCCTACCCCTCCCCCTCAACCCCAAACCATCCCAAACCACCTCAAATGGCCCAAAATACCTAATCCAACCTAAAACTTAAAAAAATTTCAAAAAAAAAAAAAAATAAAAAATTAAAATCCGGCCCGGACCGGGCCCGAACCGGCCGGGCCGGTTCACCAAAACCTGGGCCCGGGCCCGAATCGCCCAGCAGCCGGGCCGGGCCGAACCGAACCGAGGGACCCACCGGGCCCCGGGCCGGGCCGGGCCAAATAGTAACCGGGCCGGGCCGGTTCCGGGCCGGGCCGCCCGGCCCGAGTCCAGCACTATTTTTAGTATAAAGATCTCTGGTTCGGACCCGAGCACATTCCAATCCGATTTAAATCTGGATCGGCCAGTTTCGGGCTGACATTCGACTTAAATGTAATAACAGAACCGCAAATTCTCACTCCCAGCTTGGTATCGGTTCCTGTAAGAAAAAATGAATGGTTCATGTCCTATTTTGGAGAATCCTGCACCAATTTAGAGCAGTTCTTGTCTGAGATATGAGATTTGTATTTTTGTAAATTTATAGAATTGATCTAATTCTCACTCATTTTGAACTTTATGTGTATGGAGGTTGAATGGAACGAGTGATGAAGATCAACTCTCATTTCTGAGAAAGTGGATTGACATCCACATTGAGGACGCGCAAAACATTCTTAAGAAGCCTATGATCTTATCGGAGTTTGGAAAGAGCAAGACAGACCCCGGGTTCACCGTTGCAAAGCGGGACAAGCTGATGAACACCGTTTACTCGGACATTTACTCCTCCGCTAAAGGCGGGGGTGCAGCGGCTGGCAGCTTGTTCTGGCAGCTGTTTCCAGAAGGCATGGAAAGTTACCAGGATGGTTATGCAATCGTCTTCAGCGAGAGTCCCACAACAGCTGACATCATCAATCATCAGTCATCCAAGCTGAGCAAACTGCATAAGATGCCCGCCGGGCTTAAAAACATGGAGTGGAAGAAGGAAAATATGAGTGGGCTTGCAAGAGAAAACCATGACAGTAGCAATCCTGTTGGCAATGGAAGAAGATGAAAAAGAAACTAACACAATAAATTCACACACAGATTAATAAAGAAACAAATAATTGTGGGTCTATCGCTTTGTTTATGAAATATATACAAACATGTCTATGATTTGAGTATTGAACTGAACTGAAGGATGTGTTCTGTCTCAACTAAAAGATTAACTTATATCGATAGTTGGACTACACATCTATTTATTCATATATCATCCCCTAACTCCTAAGTCCTAATGACACAGTCTGAGAATAGTTTGAGAAGGAAAAATGAACTTTTTAGGTGAGGCTTTCTTAAATGATGGTCCCGTCCTTGATAGTTGCGTTCTTCAGAATGATCGTGATCCCGGACCTAATGTAAAAACCTTCATCTGCCCTGTCTGCTTCATCAACTCCCTGCAATGTGCAATAGCCGGTTTTGAGTTTAGCAAGAGGATTACAAATATGTTTGGGTAAGTCATTGGATAGTTTGGTAAGGGTTATTTGGCTACCAATGGATGGTAACATTCATTTCAGCTAAATAAGTCAGAAATTAATCATATTCAGTTCAATTATTCTGATGATAAGCAGATTCACCACACAGAACCTAAACTAAATAATAGCAGCGGATGAATATATACTTACATCCTTGTTTGCAATAACCACGTCTTTTCCTATTTTGGCATTCTTGTCAATGATGCAATTTCTGGTCACGAAACGTGAAACAACACTTAGTAAACTATCATTAAATCGCCGCATCTTCAACGTATAAATCGGACAGTTTTTCAACTACACTCATCGCAAGTCTCAGAGTTATGATGTCACATCACTTTACATGTGAATTGGAGAAGCAAAAGTATGGAAAAACAATCATTATCTCTTGTAAAAAAATGGACCTAAAATATGATTAGCACTGAGTTTAGATATGGTATCAAAGTATAGTCCCATTGTGGCTTGTTTGTTTGCCATCCAATAATTTGGGCAGCTCGCTTGGAGAGAGTTAGATCCAATTTAATAGTCGACCACATAAGTGCATAAGTATATGAGTCTCAACCTTAAAACCTTGACAATAATGTTAGGAAGTACTTCTCCTTTATAAATCCCGACATTTTGACTTTTACACTATTCACACACCTTAGTCTGACTACTTAGTCTGACTACTGCATAAAAACAAATCATATTAGATAAGACATTTTAATCTCTCTCACATAAAATTCCTGTGTGCTTGCATTTAAATTTATAGATTGTCGATGTGTGACCAAATGTGAAAGTCAAACTATTGCACAATTTTGAATGTAATTTTATTCCCAGTTCTTAAAATCCCCGTCAAGGTGCTAGGCTCCAACCAGTCACTTGAACTGCGAATTTTAGAACATTAGCTTTACCCTAGAATTAGGGTAAATCTAATAACGAATTCTTGATGCATCACGAGTGGTAATTATAGATTGTCAATGTGTGTAACCAAACGTGAAAGTCAAACTATTGCACAATATTGAATGTAATTTTATTCCCAGTTTTTAAAATCCCCGTCAAGGTGCTAGGCTCCAACCAGTCACTTGAACTTTGCGAATTTTAGAACATTAGATTTACCCTAGAATTAGGGTAAATCTAATAACGAATTCTTGATGCATCACGAGTGGTAATTATTATGACCATGTGGATTCACCTACCTAATTTTGGTGTTTGCACCAATCCCAATAGGAACCTTCCCGTCAGCTAATAGAGAAGCAATCTCTGCCTCTGTCTGATAGTAGTCTGAACCCATCATCATTGTATCCTGAAACATTTACCCACTTAATCCCCATAAAGCAGGAATAAAAAGTCCAGTTGTAGCTTATCTATAAACAAACAATGAAAAGTGTCCTCTAAAAACCATTTTATTTCACATGCCAAATTATTAGGATGCTGGACACACAATAGTGATTAAGAGCATCATGAAAACTTAACAAGAAAGAAAATGAAACTGATATGGAAGGGTACCTCAAGTTCCACGCCATTATCTAATCGTGACCGTACACCGACTATGGAGTGTTTAAGAGTACACTCCCCCAAGAAGCAACCATGTGAGATTATAGCATCCACCATCTGAACCCCCAAAGAAAAGAAATTAGTTAATATCAGTGGTTGGTTCAGCCTGATAGGTCTGACTAGCTGACTTCTACTTACACAGATACATACTCAAACATGACTATTGCAACATTAATATATGATAGTTTACTATTTTATTGTGCTTTATACCCATTCTTCGTACAATGTAGGGGCTTTATGTTAGGTAATAGGTATGCCCTGTCATGGAAGTCCCAGGTAAGAGGCGATGCCATACCTTGCACTTGTCTGCCTTAGTAGGAGGTAAGAATCTTGGTGAGGTGTAGAAAGGAGACTTTGGGTCATTGAAGTCAAACACAGGAGACTGCAAAAGATTATGAACTCATAAATATCTACACGTAATCAAGAGTAAAAACTGAAGAGTTTGTCTCACTTGAGCTGAATATGATATAACAGACCAATATAAAAGATTCACAAGAGTGATATCTTCTATTCTATCTCCGAAATAATGAATTGAGTTTGTCAGCATTTCGATGCTGCTATTGAAATAGCTTTTCTGGCAAAAAAATTTGTTAGTCCACCCATTTCATAAAGGATCCGACCGGGTTTAACAACAACAACCCAATATCCTCAAGTCTAAATAGTTAACTTTCAGTGAAAATTCAAATGTTGTAATCTATACTAGGATTCAATATGTTCCATATAGTTATAGAGATAATAGGAAAAAACCTGCTCGGTAAGGGCTAAGTTCGCATCAAAGAAAGACTTAACTGTCCCAATGTCCTCCCAGTAATCACTAAACAAATATGCCTGATAAACAAAAGCATAATGAATTAGTTGCACAAAACAGTCAAAAGTATTGTGGGCAACTGTATATCGTGATATGTGACACTTACTTGGACATTACGGTCCTTCACTGCAGCAGGGATGATTTCTGAGCCAAAATCATTGCATGAAGGGTGTTGTGACGTTAGAAGATCTAATAGAACCTGGGTTCTAAAAACATATACACCCATGGACGCAATATAAGGGTATTTCTTAGCCTCTTGATCAGAAAGCCCTAGGATGGATGTGTCAACTCTCTGCAATACAAAACAAATTATGGAACTGGAATCTAGGATACTTAAGGACTTAAGGAGGCTACTTGTGAAAGAAAAAAATCTAAGAACCCAAAATGACCATAAACTTTAAACAAAACAAAAATGTGTTTGACCTGAACATTAGATGGACTTCTATCCCATGAACTAAGTAGAGTAACTCGCTAAGAAATTAATACACTTTTGGTCGCACATGTATTAGGTTAACCCAATTTTGGTCCCGAACTTTCGGTTTTCCACTTGTGATCCAACACTTCAATTTCTTTTGTCACTTATGCTTTTACCGGCAACTTATTTGATCAAACTTTGGTTGCTTGTCGCCGGATAAGTGGCCATAACGGACCAAAAGTGGATAAAAATGAGAATGGCCAACAAGTGACCAGACCAAAATCAAATTCTTTTACTCAGTAATGACCTTGACTTTCAGAAAAGTCCTATGGATGCGCTTGAAAAAAAACAAATAGACATACCATACCCGGTTGCAACTAACAAGTTGCAAAAACAAAAAATCAGCATAAACGCAGGTTTAAATACGATTTGAGCTAACTTTTTTGATTTAATTTGTTTACTTGTAGATGAAATTGCTTACAAATTTCTTTATGTAACAGGTCATCGAGCCAATTTGGCCTTTTCAGGGTATCAAGGTTATTGTTAAAATTCACAAGGTCAAACTGGGCAATTGGAAGAAAATGCGAGGTTTAGAATTTATTACAAAATGATGTTGCTTAGCACTAGGTTATGTACTTCTGTACCATTGTTTTGACAGCAGGCCCTTTAAGTTTCTCGGCGAATTGTACAATACGCCCGTTTGCATCAATTTTCATCAACCCATAATCTGAAGCACGGCTGCATAAAAGAACGAAAAAGAGATTGATAAACAAGATGTTATAAATAAACTCAACAACAACATCCAAACCTTATTCCATAAGAGAATTATACTTGGTCTAAATATCTTCAATAAGTGGAATGGAGCAAAAATATAAACTTCCAGACAAAATTCGACCACAAACCTGTCATCCATGGGCACACAAGAAACCGTGATATCAGCACCAGTTTCAACATGTTTCTACATGTACAAGTCCCATAATCAAGAAGTGTTAGTCTCAAAATACACGGAAAATACAGGAAGAGTAAATGCAGTTTGTCATGAAATAGTGAAGCCATACCCGAACAAAGTCCATATAGTCCATCCGGTAAAGATGATCACCGGACAAAATTAATATATGCTCCACGCTCTTGTTCCTAGAATCCTGAACAATTAAAAGACAAGAAACTCAATTATCTTCTCGTACCTCTCTTAGTCTCCAGCAGTTTCAAGGAAAATAACTTATTGAAGAAAATTTAGGGATATTTTTGGATCTCGAAAAGTGCTCATGAAAAGAAAGAATGGTATGAAATTTACTTTCTTATGTTTGAATTTACTGTAGAAAATGAAAAAGGAAAAATGATTATTAATATTTAAAAATTACATATGTATAGATTGCTGCGTATTTACATAATAAAAATGAATTTGAACAAAATTGCAAATAAATTCATTCACTTTGAGCCAATCTTTTTTTTTTCTCAACATTTTCTTCCAAATTTCTCCTACAGTTCCTCTCTATTTTCTTTCCCTAGCATTTTATGCATTCTAAGCGAACCCTGGAGGAGCATGTTTTCCTGAAAAATATGTTCTATACTTCTATTTATAGAATAATGTCTGACCCACAATACACAGGAAAGTATTTGACTTTCTTAGAAAAAGTTTTCCTGGAAAGATGGAAAGTCTGAAAACATTTACG